CTTATGATTCTAACATGGGTGGAAAATTGGTTATGAATCATGTTGATGAAGGTTTGAATGATGTCTGGAGCATTGCTCTTGGCAGCAAGGAGATATGTCCAAGTTGTTCTAGAGAAATCATCCACTATGGTAAGAAAATATTGGAACCCATTGTAAGTTTTAGTGTGATAGGGTCCCCATATGTCCAGGTGTATTAGCTCAAATAAATGGTCAGAGTGGGTTTGACTGTGAGGAAAAGGTAATTTATGTTGCCTAGCTTTAGGACAAACATCACAGGAAGAAAGAAGATTGAATTCATTATCTGGAATAGAGCAAATTTGCTTGAGTTTATATACAGGTAAGTGCCCCAATCTTAGGTGCCATGTCTTAACATCAGGAATTTTACAGACTTTATTGCAACATACATCTCTAGTAACATCACTAGAATGAAAAACAGATGATGAACTATTGGTATTATCATGTTGACTCTGAGAAGATGAAAAGGAGTGCTGAACAGCAGGAGTAATGTAGAGGCCATCACATTTTTCACCAAGTTCCAGTGGCTTCCTCTGTGAAGGGCCCTGCAATGTACATTTTGTGAAACAAGCTGTAAGACCAAGTTGACTGCACAACTTTCCTACTGAAAGTAAATTGTACTTGAAATCAGGGACAAACAGGACATCATCAAGAGTGATCTCACAAGGCAAGGTTGCAGAACCAATTTTGAGGACTTTAATTTGATGGTTGTTGGGTAAAGTGATATGGTGAGGTTTTGGCAAGTATTTTAGGTTAGTCAGAAGACAAGGATTACCACACATACGGTCAGTTGCCCCAGTGTCTAAAATCCAAGCATAGTTATCAAATTTATGCACAATGTTGCAAATATGCATTGGCAAAAAATTAGAAGAATAATGAGTCATACCAGCCATGTGAGCATTGAGTGCTTGGGATTGAGAATTGGAACTGGTTGTTCCAGGTGTCTGGTTTCCTTGAACTGTGGAGAGAAACCTCATGAACTGAGTGCACAGATCTGAAGTGAATGGTGTGATGTCCAGATTCTCACAATCTTCTCCTGCAGAGACATTTCCAGCCAGCTTCCTTCCCTTTGCGAACTTATAATCCTTTGGAAAGCCCACTATTCTGTAGCACTTTTGAACTGTGTGCCCCTTCTTCTTACAATGATCACAAAACAAAGGTTTCGTTTCTTCATTCCTTCCTTTCTGATATGAGGATGTACTCACATTCATTGATGTATGTTCAGGCATTAAAGGTGATGCAGCTTGAATTTCCCTCTGTTTTTCCTCCTGAATTAGCATCCCATATGCAACTGCAACAGATGGGAGAGGCCTCATAACCAGAATATTTCCCCTGATAGTGTTGTATTCTGAATTTAGGCCCATCAGAAATTGGATTAGTTTCTGATCTTGTTCATGTTTGACCATAGCTTGAGCTGATCCACATGTGCATCTCGGCAGATTGGACACCATTCCTAATTCATCCCAACAGAACTTCAATTTAGTATAATAGGAAGCTATGTCTGAATTCCCTTGTGCAATTGAACAGACATTCTTCTGAAGCTGATACAGACGAGTTCCATTTGATTGTCCAAATCGATCTTCAAGTTTGTTCCAGAGATTGTTGAGTCCAAAATATTCACTAATTATTCTCTACCAAATCAGTATTTTTGGGCATTAAAAAGTGCATTTTTACACATAAATGATTATATTTGCATTCTAGGTATCTTTTATAAAATATGTTCATAATGTACACTTTTCAGTTTATTTTTGAATATTATTGTTGTGGACCCAAATTCTCCTTGACAAAGGTTATTAGATATATCTTTGGAGCATGAAGTGTGGGCTGAAAATGTGAAAGCAATCCAGTTGGGCTCTACCCCGACTTATGGTCTCAAAGGAAATCCAGGCCCAAGATGACAAAGCCCAAAGGTCCACCTCATAAGTTGAGAAAAGCTGCGTAAAAAAAGGAGAAAA